TGTCGGGGCTCTGGGTGCGCCCGGGGGGGTAGAGGAGGCTGCTGCGGGTGCCTGGAGCCGTTTTGGGGAAAGGGTGGGTTTTGTTTGTTCTTCACCTTCCTGTCTGGCACAGCAAAGCCACTTCCAGCTGCCCGCGGGATGGGGGGCCGGACACAGGCAAGGTTGTGTCCCCCAGGCTGGGAGTGAAGCCAGGGCCGCCACGCGCCTGCAGCCATGGCCAAATCCAGCCCAGCCCCGCAGCGCCACACAGCCCTGGGGTGTCCCTGCAAGGACCCCCTCTGCGGGGGGGAGGTTGCCAGGGCTGAAGGCTTTGGTTGCCCATGGGGTTGGGGTCGGGGCCAGTGGCTCTGACAGAGCCGTGCCGTGTCCTTCCAGCACAGGCAGCAGCGACCCGTACTGCATCGTGAAGATCGACGACGAGGCCATCGTCAGGTGGGCGCTCCGTGTCCCTGGAGGGTCCCCAAACCTGCTGGCACCCAGCTCCAGGGGTTCCTCCATCTGCCCTGCTGCAGGCACAGTGTTACTGCTATTATTATCACTATTACCATTATCACTATTACCATTATCACTATTATTACCATTATCACTATTATTACCATTATCACTATTATTACCATTATCACTATTATTATTCATACTATTATCACTATTATTTATATTATTATTGTTATTATTGATATTTTTATTGTTGTTCTTGTTGCTGTTATTATTATTGTTGTTGTTATCATTATCATTCTTCCCTGCCTTGGGGTCTCTGTCACTTCTCCAGACACAGCCTACAATGTCTGACAGCTCATAGCCACCCCCAAATTCTTGCTAGCCCAGAGCCACAAGAGGGGGACAAGGACTCAGCCCCTGCCCCAGCTGCAGGTTCCAAACTGGGTCCTGCCCCCAGCCAGCCCCGTATCACTGGAAGCTGCGGGGCTCTTGGGGCGATGGAGGAGGGTTTTGCCCATCGGGGCAGCCCTGTCCCCACTGTCACCGGTGCCATCTGCCCCCCAGGACAGCCACGGTGTGGAAGACGCTGTCCCCGTTCTGGGGGGAGGAGTACGAGGTGCGCCTCCAGCCCACCTTCCACTGCGTCTCCATCTACGTCATGGACGAGGACGCGCTCAGGTACAGGCAGGGTGGCTGCAGGGGCTCGGTGTGGGGGCTTGGAGGTTGGTGGCTTTGGCTGCGTGGGTACTCGACCCCGTTGCAGACAGCAGAGGCTCCGCACCTTCCCACGCTGGCTGGGCTTTGGCACACAGACGGGTGCAGTTAATTCCCAGGGCTGTTTCCCCCACTCCCCACTGTGCTCTGTGGGCACAGACGCATCGTGGTGGTCCCAGCCCAGGACACGCGGCTGCCTCGTTCCCCCCAGATGTGTGGCAGGGGGTGTCCAGCCTCGGGGACCCCACGCTGTGTCCTGCTCCTGACTTTTGTTTTCCAGCCGCGATGATGTTATTGGGAAGGTGTGCATCACCCGGGACATGCTGGCGGAGCACCCCAAGGGGAGGGGGCCAGGGGGCCGGGAGGGGCCTGATCAGGACCCCAAGGGCCCC